AAAAAATATAAAATTAATATTTTAAATAAAAAATTAACCATTTATCACTTTATTTAAAAACTAATAAAATTTTTATATATTTAAATAAAAAATAACCAAATTTATATATTTATTGCTACACATTTTCTCTTACTTTACTCTGTTCGGACTTTTGATGTAAAGATCCTTGGGCTTTGTTAATTAACTAAAAGTATGAAATTTAGGCCCAATAAACACAATGGGTCAACTGCAGCCCAATTTCCCGTTTACCCTTAAAATTGAAAATCGCGAGCAATAAAAAAGTCAATATGGACAATCTGAATTACCACATAGGATATTTGATATTTAACTACAAATAATTATTGTTATATACTTATTTATCTCATTATATCATACAACTAATCCATAATCTCTACTCTTTACAGTTTACACCAAACATCAGCGGATCTAAATTTTTTGGATTTTTATATTTTAATATTTTTCTGGTATTTTTAGATACTAGAATGGAATCCTAAACAGATCCATATCATATAGCTGATGATTCCCTTATATTTAATCAAAAATTAAGAAATAAATAAAACATTATTTAACATTCAATATAGTATAAAGTTGTAATTTTAAAATTATCTACAGTAGAAAAGTCAAATTAAATGTACAAAAATTAACTTGAGCACAAATACACAGTTGCTTCGTTTCTAACCGAAAGTTGAATTAAGAAAAAAAGTATTATTTTATAAGAAAGTAAATGTTATTTTATAAGATTTAAATCTTCTAATAAGTATTTAAAAAAATTAATTTTTTTAAATATATCAAATTAATATAAAAAAATATATTCTCATAATTATTTAATAAAAAAATTAAATTTAAAATACATAAAAATTACCGGAAAGAACCTAAACATTAATACCAAAAAAATGTAGTCTCATCGCATCATACGGGGGAGACTAATAATTTTATACTAGCACTAGAAGTATGAGATCCTTCGGGAGGCAGTAATGACGACTTGTACGTACAACACAATCTAGGATCCGAGATCCCGCCACGTGTACAACCTGCAACATGGCACCATCTGATTGGCCATACTACTCTGCAATTTTTCTATGATGATAGGGACTTCACGTCTGTGGATTTAAGGATGCTGAAGGATGCTGTCTATTGTTTCCTAACTTTTCCCTTCTTTTCTTGGTATATTGTTTATTGATGAACATTTTAGAAACTTAGTCAAACATTCATAGTATTTTACACATAAAAAGTCATGCATTAACCAAATAACCATCCACTACAAATGAGAAGTTATACACTTCTTATATCTAAATCATTAAAAAGATTAATCAGGTTCAATGAATTGCATGCATCAACTGGAATGCAACAGGGTCTTTTTGTTTAACTGAATAAGCATGAGTTGGGACTTGGAAGCATTTTCCTAGAATATGTCAAAGAAATTTTGTTAATTTCTGACCTTATGATATGTCTGAGAGTATTTAAAGTTTTGATTTAGAAGTTTAGGAATGCCTTATAAGTTATAACTTCTAAGGAACTGAAATTTGGTGAAATATATCTTTAGCCAGCACTAAGAAGATCTGACATTTTATATATTTTGCTTTCCTTTTGAATAAGTTTACCAATAGCATAGATTTTTGAGAAACAATTTGTAATTTCAGCCATTTGCTTTTGCCAAATACTTGAGTATTTTTAACTTAAAAATTAATTAACTGCTTCAATCACCAATAAGCATCTTTTCAATGTAGGATGGAGGAGAAAAAAACCAGAAAACATGCTCTTATTTTTCTTTTGATTTGTGATCTGTAGATAGTTTGTGCATTGTATTTGAGAAATTAGTTTAGCAAATCATGTAGTCATTAAAAACTACTTTTACTTTTATAGACAACTCAGTTTGGGGAAGTTAAGAAACCACAAGGGCACAACTAAAAACTGTTTGGGAGTGTACAACCAATTTAATCCGCTGCATCTTTAAAGAAATGCTTATTTTCCACACTATTTATCAGATCTAGATATAGTATGTTTTTCTCAGCAACAAACTGAACATGATTAATATGCTTGGCTGAGATTTGATTCTATTCCAGGAGCACCATAACCTGTGAGAAGTTTGAAGAACTCTGTGAGGATCTTTGGGAGAAATCTCTTACACCTGTGAAAGAAGTTCTCAAGTATTCTGGTTTGGAAGTGGATGACATATATGCAGTGGAGTTGATTGGAGGAGCAACTAGGGTACCAAAGTTGCAGGTTTGCATTGTCTTTGTTTCTTCACTTGTATTCTGTGCCTAAAAGAATAAAAAAAAATACCTATGCTGTGCTGGATCTATACAATTCCACCAATTCATGCAAACATAAAAGGTAAAAAAATGATGACATGTGGTTGCTTTTGGCTTGATCCGTAGTTCTGTGAATAAATTTTGAAACTGAATTCCACTGTCAAAGGATGTTCAGTTGACTTGTTCATAATTAAGATTACATCTTTGACTGGTAGTAGACTAGCAGTGTTTAAGATTAGTTCATTCCTTGTTTTACTAGTTTTTGATCTGTTGTGTTGGAACGATACTGTTGACAAATACATATAAACCTAAAAGGTTAAAAGAGATGCAGACAGCAGTTGCTTCTAGGTTCTTCCATAATTCTATGTATGGAATTTGTAGCTAATTTGGTTATCAAAGTTTGTTTAGAGGACTTGTTCAGAATTAAGATTACTTTTCTGACCAGTAGTAGACTAGCAGTGCTTGTTTAAGATCAGTTCATTTCTTTCACTGGTTTGTGGTTTGACTTCTGTTATGCCCATTTTTTTATTTGAATAATAGTGGGCAACTGTTAAGGTAAACAATATATATATATATATATATA